TATCCAAGAAATTGCAAATTTTTGAAACATTATTTACTTATGTATTTTTATACTTTAATCATCAGATTTATTAATACTAAGCAATAACTTTAAAATTCGAATTATTGTAACTCCTAAAGAGATCATTTTAATATCAATGATTCAAGATAGAAATTAATTTCCAACAAATTGTAAACTCCCGTTTCCAATTTTAATAAGGGAGGTGTTGCATACCCACTATTTTCCCAATACTATTTTTCCCGTTTTTATAACAACCATGTGTTTACCAAATGTTCCTCCCCAAGAAACCTTTTCCAAAGTATTTACTACTCTTTACTGCTTTGATCCTCTGAATATTCCAAACCCTTGTAAACCCCTCAATAATAATTTAGCCTAATCCTCTAAAATCGTTTGATTGCTTTTCTCGGTACTTTCCCAGTACCTCGGACCCCTAATTTGGAACTTTCCCAACACTCCACTGCACAAAAACCGCTAATCCGGGACTTTCCTAAAAACTCGATACGCAAAAACCCTCTCGGTGCGTACCTCTACCTAACCTCTCCTAGTCCAGCCCATTAGGCTCAACCCTCACCTAAATTAGCCAATCAGACACCTTGGGCCTTTCTCCCTCCAACTTCCAACTCCTACTATCATCCCTCAGAGGACTCCAACTTTAAACTCTCTGTACTCCAACTTATCACAATTTGATTCGAACTGTCTAAGAAGTAAGATCTATTAAGGAAGATATCCAAAATTGTACTTGTATTTAAGTCTAATAAATAGTGATTTCGTGTAACATTGAAAATATTAATTCTTCAATCCGGAATCCAACAGTTTCATGGCAGTTTTTATTTTTTTGTTACAGAGATTAAGGGATGGAAGAGGGTTTGTTGGTGGGGAATTTGATTTTCCGTCGAACTACCGTTATTTCATCCCTTAATCTCAATTAGGAGGGGAGAGGTGAATTTTTAATTACCGGGAGTCACTGTGCACCGCAAGACAATTATTTTTCTTACTGCGTTGTGATTTTCATGACAGTTTCTTCCATTTTTTACAGAGATTAAGGGATGAAAGAGGGTTAATTGATAGGTAATTTAGTTCTCCGTCAAACAGCCTTTTTCTCATCCGAGAGAGAGAGAGAGAGAGAGAGAGAGAGAGAGAGAGAGAGAGAGAGANGAGCGAACGGCTGACGAAAAACCTCAAATGATTCTTTTTCTCGCATCCAGTCCGTGACGATCCACAGGCATGTGCGCGCATACGCAAATAGTCTGAACAATACTGTAGGGAGTGGGAGTGAGACGGAGACTTCTCTCTCGCACAAAAGGTTCTCATTCACGGCGCCGGATTTAGGGATTGAAGCTAGAAAATTGCGTTCAACTTTGAATCCATAGGAGATTCGCGGGTACGATCAAGACAAAATTTGTGGTAAATTTTCTAATAAAAAATATGGAAAAAAAAAAGAAATTCATTGATTCAATGTCAAGATATAAATAGCAACATATATTAGATTCGCTCTGAATAAATAAACAAGCTATTGAAAAAAAAAACACTGATATTCCGAATTAAAAAAAAAAAAATTCATCAACTTCAATTTTTTTAATGGAAAACATTTTTTTTTCCCATCTGATCTTCACGCGGCTCTGGGGGATGAACGGTTGCGAATAGGGGTAAAGTGCCCTCAACATTTTTTGTGTAGAATTTTGATCTCTACAACTTTGTGTAGTACGTTTTTGGACGCACAGCGCGTTATTCACGAGTTATTTCGAAAAAACTGTTTTCAGGGGTGTTTTTTTGGCTTTTTCAACCCCCGCACAAACTTGGGGAACCTTAAATATCCGCCATTAGTTTCATACGCCCAAATCACAAATTCCATAAAAAATGGAGCCTGTATCGCAAACATTCGTATGTTAGACCGACGTTCATTGGACTAGTCGGAGATCCGTTCGGGGTTTCTCCGCGCTTTTGAAAATTCATTCCTCCGCTCCTACTTGAGATTAAGGAATGAAACCGCCGTCATTTATTGAGAATTTAATTCTCTATCGATCGGCATCGGTTTCATTCCTTCATCTTCATTAGGGGGGGAGAAATGAATTTTCTAATCGGGAAAGCCCCTCCGGGCTCACTCGACGTCGGAAAGCCGTTCGGGGTTTCTCCGCGCTTTTGAACATTCATTCCTCCGTTCCTAACTGAGATTAAGAAATGACACCGATGTCATTTATTAAAAATATAATTCTCAATCGCTAAGCTTTGGTTTCATTACTTCATCTCAATTAGGGAGGGGAGAAATTAATTTTTGAATGAGAAGAACTTGTTCGGAGTTACTGCGCGCTTTGAAAATTCATTCCTCCTCTCCTAATAGAGATTAAGAAATGAAACCACTGTCATTTATTGAGAATATTATTCTCGATCGATAGATGTTGCTTCCGTTCCCTCTCCGCAATTAGGGGGGGGGGGAGAAATGAATCTTCCAATCAGGGGAATCCCTCCGGACTCACTCGACGCCGGAGAGCCATTCGGGATTTCTCCGCGCATTCGAAAATTCATTCCTCCGCTCCTACTTGAGATTAAGGAATGAAACCGTTGTCATTTATTGAGAATTTAATTCTCGATCGATCGGCATCGGCTTCAATCCTTCATCTCAATTAGGGTGGGAGAAATGAATTTTCCAATCGGGGGAGTCCCTCCGAGCTCACTCGACGTCGGAGAGCCGTTCGGGGTTTCTCCGCGCTTTTGAAAATTCATTCCTCCGCTCCTAACGGAGATTAAGAAATGAAACCGATGTCATTTATTAAAAATACAATGGTCGATCGGTAGGCTTTGGTTTCATTTCTACATCTCAATTAGGGAGGGGAGAAATTAATTTTTGAATGAGAAGAACTTGTCCGGAGTTACTGCACGATTTTAAAATTCATTCCTCCTCTCCTAATAGAAATTAAGCAATGAAACCGCTGTCATTTATTTAGAACATAATTCTCCATCGATCGATATTGCTTTCATTCTTTCATCGTAATTAGGGGGGGAGAAATGACTTTTCCAATTGGGGGAGGCCCTCCGAAGAGCCGTTCGGGGTTACTCTGCGCTTTTGAAAATTCATTCCTCCGCTCCTACGTGAGATTAAGGAATAAAACCGCTGTCATTCATTGAGAATTTAATTCTCGATCGATCGGCGTCGGTTTCATTCCCTTCTCTCAATTAGGGGGGGGGGGAGAAATGAATTTTCCAATCGGGGGAGCCCCTCCGGGCTCACCGTTCGAGGTTTCTCCGCGCTTTTGAAAATTTATTCCTCCGTTCCTATCTGAGATTAAGAAATGACACCGATGTCATTTAATAAAAATATAATTCTCAATCGGTAAGCTTTGGTTTCATTCCTTCATCTCAATTAGGGAGGCGAGAAATTGATTTTTGAATGAGAAGAACTTGTCCGGAGTTACTGCACGCTTTGAAAATTCATTCCTCCTCTCCTAATAAAGATTAAGCAATGAAACCGCTGTAATTTATTGAGAATATAATTCTCCATCGATAGATATTGCTTTCATTCTTTCATCGTAATTGGGGGGGGGAGAAATGAATTTCCCTATCGGAGGAGCCCCTCCGGTTAGTCCGCACTTTTGAAAATTCATTCCTCCGCTCCTACTTGAGTAGGATAGAATAGAATTTCCCGAAGATTCCAAAAAGCTTCATTGTTCTTCGTGCATGAAAAATGGGGATCTTCGGGAAACTCCTTGCGATCACAAGACTTTTACCGATTTATTTTTCTCCGTGTGACGTCCGTATAGAAGATCAAAAAATCAATTTAACTTTGGGATAAATGGAGAGGAGAGAAAAACGTGAATATCTCGGAAATTAGATGCGACAAAGTGGGCCCTTTTCACGTGGACGTACACATATAATTGGACTGAAATTTATAGAAATTTTTAATTTGCAATGACGAAATTCCTTGAAATTTCCGTATTACGGCAACGCTATAAAAATTCCCAATAAGTTCCCGGAATTTCTGCGAAAATATTACTGAAACTTACAGACATCATTCCTGATTTCAAGACATTCCTTTGATTTTCAGGATCATGTCACTAGAAATTTTTTACAAAATGACTTAATTTTAACATTGCTTGCTCATTGCATTTCAGAAATGCAGCTGCCTAAAAAAGACACATCGATTCCTAGGAACAACGTTTTTTTTTCTCGGTAAATACAGACAATAGAGAAATGTCAGAGTACAGTGAATAAACTTCACTCGTCAAAAACTCCATAATGGCAGAGTTAAATTCCCTGATTTTTTTTCACTCTCGATTAATTTTTTAAAGATTCAAATTGATACTTAAGTATCAATTGATTCATTCACATCGTTCCATTCCATCGGGAGATATTGTCGATTGGAGACAATTTTTTATGGTCACTGAAGAATGCAAACCATTCATTTAAATCTCGCAATAATCTGCGAAAAGTCTCATTCGTTAATCTATTATTATTGATTTAATCCCATTATGTGTATGAGATTTGTTGAGATATAATCTCTCACAAATATTGAATATATTTCTCATCAAAATAATTTGAAATTCATTCATTACCTTTGTATCACTGACAAAATATGTAATAAATGTGAATAAGATGAATTGCTCGTATTTTTTTTTTTATTAAAGATCTAGTTGTATAGAAATTCAAATAAATGATCCTCTTTCGCTCAAGACTTCATAATTCCTTCTCTCCCTCTCCTTTATGATCAACTAATTTACAAATTAAGACAATAAGAAGTTGTATGAACGAAAATGGGATAATCAAGCGGATGAGTGAATGCAAAGGAGGTTTCATGTTGGATTTAAGATTGGGAACGCTTCCCTGTTATCGACTGTTTCCATAGCAATAGATGAAAATTTCTTTACCCACAGAGCCGGCCTCTCGATTAGTTCATGCGCGCCACCGCTATGAAATTCTGATTGAACAGTTCCCATAAGCCTGAGCAATCTCCCCTATTGGAAACGCTAAATATCAAAACGCCACCTATGAATGGCGGATATTGGGCTGCACACAGCAGTTTGGGCTTGTGGCAGCGTATATATGGGAAGCCTAAAATCGTCCATATTGGTGAAAACGAGCGCCGCCATCGATAATTAGCGGTCCCAATTATCTCTGCATAAACTATTGAATAAAGACATAACCTGAACAGTCTGTGACTTTTCTCAGTGCTAAATAATTTCAATTCGAATGCTGGAGCAGATAGATATAAATCCGTAAATCAATTTATATCATTCAAATACCAAAATGGAGAGAAATAGGAGTGTGAAATCTTTCATTGCTTCTGCGAAGGGGTACTTGAAGTGTCCCAATGATACTACGACAGCAGTACTTCAACGTGATTTAGGAGTAAGTGTTATTTTCAGCCTAAAATTTTAATGTGATTATTATTTTTATAAATTCCATGCATAATGAACTCTAAAAAAATTGAGTAATGTAGCAAGTAGAGAAAAAACTCAGTCGCACTAACCGGAAAAATCTGACCATAATAAAAAAAAAATGATTTCCAATCTTGCATATCTGTATTTTTGAAGTCTGGAAAAATCCCTTCCAAATGAAAACAAAGATGGGTGATTTCCACATTGGTAATCTCGAGTTATTGACCATTAAAAATGGTCATTTCCGACTCTTTATAAATATTAAAAAAATATTTTAAAGTGTTTCGCAAAGTGGTAGGAGGTGGAAATTCATTGGAGAATATTTTTGAGCTTTCATATGAAATTTTTCAACATTTATGAAAAATCGAAAATGAGTATTTGAGGCGGTAGATCGCTCGTTTGAGGTACACCCAGAAAAATGGTTCATTTCAATCAAATAAAAATCTTTATATAGAGTGAACAGGTAAATTGCTGGACGGTTAAGGGAAATTCCAGTTTCGTGGTAGGATCTCAAATAAAAGAATCACCTGAATGGGACTATGGTAATTTCCCGAATGTTTTAATTAGCAGAAAATCATTATTTGACGTGAAAATAGAAAAACAAAGAATAATTAAATTAAGATATATTTGAATGCAGCCGAAACCCCTAATTTCTGGACGACTGGGCCATATTTTTCTTTATATGTTAAATGTCGGTCAATAGAAAAAAAAATGGATCACATGATTATGCACGAGTAATATTATTGCAAGATGAAATAATCAGTACAATTTTCATTTTATTTATAGAATATTCAATGCAAGTTGAAATCGTCCACAAACTAACCCCCGTCCCCAAATTGATCCGTTTACCCTATTTGAAATACTTGTACTTGTTTCAATCATGTCATTGTTAGAAAAGAATAAATACGTTCACTTGTTTCAAAAGAAAGCATTATAATTACGGCAAATAAACAATTTATTAATTTCAAATAAAAAAAAATTCTTATTTTAAGAAAATCATATTTTCCGGTATTTTTGGAAGGAAAATCGAAATTATGTTTCAACCATATTCGCGTTCCATGTAGAAAAAGGCCGTTTCACTTCGCCCCATTCTCTCCTAATAATTATGAATTTTTCTCTTTCTATCTTTTGAGTCAATTTTAATTCCAGAGCGATAATAAAATATTCGTATCCTCTATTAAAAAATTGGTGTCACCTTTTTTGTCAGCAATCTATTTCGCCAGGGATAACCTTAAGCCTAGGAAAAGGATAATCTTTGCTTAAGATTAGAAATACGAGGTGACGTCACGAATGAAAAACCGTCAGGTCACAAAAATATGACCGTCATGTGACCGTCATTGACAATCATATCTTCTCTTGTCAATAAAACGGTCAGATAAAACTTTGTCATTGAGAAATTAGCTATATAGATGTGACATGACGGTCATTTTTTTCCGTGTCACAAAATTTTGTCATGTTTTGCCATTAATAATTACCTCCTTCGTAGTTCATTGACTGTTATGTCCTATCAATGTTACTAGGAGGACAGTGGCGCCTTTTTGAAATAACGAGCGCCAAACTTCGAAATGTGGATCCGTTAGCCGCTAAACCTCTGATGAGGACTCCATCGATGTTGACTCGTTCATTTTTTGAATAAATGGGTTGAAGGTGTATTCCAGAATAAATCAAAACACTAGTGCTTAGGAGAGCACATTAACACTATTTATTTCAAACTTCTAATTTAAACTTGAAATCTTTGGTAGACAAATACACTTGATAAAACTTTTATGGAAAACTTTAAGAAAAACTAATCGAAGAGAGAAGCTGGAACAGTTGTCGGAACAACAGCCACGATGGGACTGTCTCTAACTTAAACTAAAAATCTAAGGGTTGGGTCCATACACCCCCACTAGACCAAAAGTTGCGCGCGCAATCTTGGCCCGGAGTAAAGGGAAGAGGGGTAACTTAAAAGAGAAATCGGGAAGCGAAAGAGGGAGAAAGGGGAGCGTGTGACGTCAACAGTATTCCCTCTTGAGGGGTCTCAGGCCCTTCAGCTCCGCGATACAATGAACAAAGGAGAACTCGACACTCAACACGTGTGGAACACGTGAATCAGAGAGACTTTCTAAATATCTCAGAACCGAGACTTAATAATTTTACGACCGTAACCGTCGAGTTTATTTTCTCTCTATATTTCAGAATTTCAAGAAAAGTATTGTTTTGAGGAATTTTGGAAAGCTGTAAATTTACGAAGTAAACTCAAGTACTTGACATTTATTTCCGGCAACGGTTTTTCTCACGCCTGCGAAGTTGTTTTTCGTCCCCTGTTCATTGTCCTTTCATTCTCGACTTTTCTCAGTATTTAAAGATTTTACGTTATTTAATTAATTTTTTATATTAATTTGAATATCGCGGACAAAGATGGCTGATCATTGCTACCAACCATCAAAATCAGCGTCAAGACATCACATGACTAGAAGTAGTTCATTAATTACTTCGGGGTGACATGGGGTTACAGTTTCGCCAACTTTCAGATAAAATAAAATGAAAAAATTAGACACCTAAAGTGGTTTCGCCACCACTTAGATGCGATATGACTGTCATAAGGTAAGTCGGTCACATTTTTGTCATGTGACAGTAATTGGTCATTCGTGAATCGGTAATGTGCCGTGTCAGTGACGGTCACATGACCGTCATCTGACATGTCATCAAAATTGCTCGTCATATATATATATATATATATATGATAGAAATAGAAAATTGAAAAAATATCTCCCTTTAAAGAGATAGAAAAAGATTGTATAATCCAGGATCTTCAGCAAAGATTAACTAATGAATGAATTTTGTTCTGGATACTTTATGGAACAATTCAACTTGTGATTCAATCTTGTGACATGAAGCAATCATTCTGTGTGAAATAATATAATTCTAGCTGTAAAAAGTCATGGTAGAAACGTGACATTAAATTATATGTTCCTTTGATTGTGTACTGTTACTTTTATCATTTTCAAAAATAAATGAAAGGATAAAAAATACAATGAACCACTAGCTTAAGCATGCGCGCGCGAAGCGCTCGTTCCTTTTCTTGTCAAATTAATTTTTATTAAGTTCGAAGAAAAAATGTATCTAATTCAAATAAAAATTTATTAATAATAAAAACATCCATTTATTTCACAAACAGAATTCAAATCAAATGAAGAAAAATTTTCAGTTAGAATAACACCGTTACGTCGTACTATTTAAATAAACTTATTGATTTGATTCGAAGAAATCAATTTTCTGGGTTTAGAGTGGAGTTTTCACTACATATAATTTTCATAATATAACAAAAAGTAATGATAAATGTCGATCCCTGTTCCAGATATTAACAGCCCCCCAGGACGTGTCGATCTTTACTTCAGGCACACCAATAGCCACGGATTTCTACGAGACCCTCCACACCCTGATCTCTACCCTCACCCCCATGAACCCCCTCCTCTGGAGCACCCTGGACGTCCTCCACACCCTCTCCTCCTTCCCGGCCTCCCTAGCCTCTCTCATGCACATCTACAAATTCCCTCAGCTCCTCTCCCCCTTCCTCTCCACTTCCCTCATCCCCGAAAAAAGAATGAAGCTCCTGAAGCTCTTAAAACGCCTCACCAAGGGCATAAAAATCCACTGGCAAGAGTCCCACCTCCCAGCGTTAATCCAGACTCTCACCCAGTGGATAAACCCCTCCCAGGACACTGAGCTCATCACAAACTCCCTCAGTCTCCTCATAAACCTCTGCAGAAAGAATCCCCCGGCTATTTACACCCTGGTCGACTCAGTAAACAGTAAAAATTTCCACAGAAATCTCCTCAGACTTCAAACGAACACGTCAAAAATCCAAATTCTGTGCTGCAAGATCCTTCTAATCATGGAAGAAACTAATTACGAACTTCCAGAGCAGTTCATCCTTAATTTTTTGGAGATTACCTTTAAGATAATCGAAGAGACGCTCGAAGCGAACAAACTAAAATTATTGAACGAAACTGTGGACTTTTTCGAGGAAGTCAGATGTCATGAGAGGACGAAAAGTTCCCTGATCACCTACGAAGATTACACGAAGAACCTCAAGAAAATCATGGAAAAGCTCGAGGGAAAGAGTCCAGAGTCTGTTGAAATAATTTCTAAATTCTTCACTTCAATCCTGAAATTAAAAGTTTCAGGGATTTGTCAGTTCCACCCACAGCTTACGAAGGTCGCCATAAATAGTTTGAAGAAATTCAGAATTTCTATCAATGGTCTTTCCCTCCTGAAGACTGTTATCATAGACTCAAGGAGGAACAAGAACTCTGAGGTGCCCTCAGACCCTCACCTGGACTTTGTGGTTTCCCTGATGACCTCGGAAGGTGTTCTCGGGGATGATCTCCTGGTGATCGAGGTGATTCAGTTGATTCAGGAGCTGGCGAAGATATCCAATTACAGAATGTCCATCAGTCAGAATGTCCCAGAGCCCAGAATCAGGGAGATGATGAGGAAAATCCGTGAAGAGGACCCCAAGAGGATCATAAAGAACGTCTCGACTCCTCTCTACGTAAATCTCCTCTGTCTCATCTCGGATTTGGCGACTTCCGACTCGAAATGGCTGACTCTATATACTGAGCTCATTCAGAATAAAAAAATCCAGATGATCATAGCGGTATCGATATTCAGGGGTGATTTTGAGACGAAATCGAAGACACTGTCTCTGATTTCTTCAGTTGGATTCAATCAGGAGTGCATCCTGGGGGTCACCAAGTGCCTCACAGAACTCGAGAAAATTTTTCTGATTGAAAAACCTTTGGAGATGTCGAGTTTCGATCCGAAAATCGAGGGTTTCGAGAAGTCGAAGAAACTCTCGCCTCAGGATTTAGAGCGACTCGAGAGGATTTTGGAAAAATATGAAGAGAAAATCGAGAAGAATGACATGGAGAATGTATTTATGACGGAGATGATGGAGCTGTATGAGACCAAGATCAATGGAATGAGAAATACTGAGGAGAATCTGGGGAGATCTTTGATTTCTGCTGAGAGAAATGCGACATTTCTTCAGCACAAGATATCCCAGATGAATTCGGAATTGACGAAGCTTCATGAGCTGTTGTTTTCTTCTCAGAAGAATGTTGAGATTGTTCAGGGTGAGAACTGCAATCTACATGAGAGATTGTCAGGGGCTGAGAAGGAGAGCAAGAAGGTCCATGAGATTCAGAAAATGGAAATTCAGGGGTTGAGGAAAATTGTCGCTGAAAAGTCGAAGACGATTGAGGAGTTCTCGGAGGTGAAGAGAGAGCTGGAGGTGGCACTGGAGAGGATCGAGGGCTACGTTAAGAAGTTAAAGGATTTGGAGGGGGAGAAGGTGGGGTTGAAGAAGGAGAATCAAGAGCTAATGGAGAAGAATAAGGATTTGGGGAAGAGTATTGGAAGGCTGCAGGAGAGGGTCGCGAAGAGGGACCAGAGGATTCAGGAGAGGGAAAGGGAAAATGAGGCCCTGCAGGAAGCGATGGGAGCCCTCAAGCAGGAGAGCGCACAGCTGATGAGACAGTGCAAGAGCTATGAGACTGCAATTACCGAGAAGGAGGAGACTATCAAGAAATTGGAGACTGAATTGACTGATTTGAGCAGGATGAGAGATATGATCTATTCGCTGACTGCTCAGAAGAAGGACAGTGCGCAGAATGAGACAACTTGATACAATTTTTTGTTGAGGTGACACAGGCGATGAGGGAGGGGTGAAATTAGGTAAGAGAGACTTTATTTTATTGATTCCAAATGAATTATTTTTGACAGTTGAAAAGACTGACATTACAATTATCTTGAGATTTCGATATGAATAGAGACGGGAAAGAAACAATGTCCTCATGACGAAGATAACACGTCGAACCTCGGGATCAAAATATAATTGTCAAAATATAAGGGTCAAAATATACAAAATATAAGGGCAAACTGAGGGACAATTATCTTATTATTCTGTTGCATCTAGTAATAAAATTTCTAGATAACGTTTCTTTCTGATTAGAAAACCATTGTTTATTGTAGACAAAATTTTAGGAGCAGACGATTCAGGTTAGGGAGAATGAGGGCCTGCAGGAGGCAATGGGAGCCCTCATGCAGGAGAGCGCACAATTAAGACAGTGGAAGAGTTATGAGACTGCCATTGTCAAAAAGGAGGAGACTATCAAGATATTGGAGACCGGATTGACTGATTTGCTGATTGCTCAGAAGAAGGACAGTACCCAGAATGAGACAACTTGATACCGTTTTTTGTTGAAAGGACACAGGCGATGAGGGAGGGGTGGGACTAGATAAGATAGACTTTATTTTTCAACTGATTACAAATGAATTATTTTTAACAGTTGCAGAGATTTAAACTACAATTATCTTGAGATTTTTCATATAAAATAGAGAAGGAAAAGAAAAAATGTTCTCACGACGAAGATAACGGAGCTGTATGAAACAAAAATTAACAGCATGAGGGTGAGCTGAGGAGATTCTATATTTCTGCTGAGAGAAATGAGATTTTTCTTCAGCACAAAACATATCTTTTATTGGGCGAAACAGAAGATGAGGGAGGAATGGGAGTAGATAGGATAGACTAGTTTTCAATTCATGTGGAAAAATTATTTTCAAAGATCGACTTTCATTTATCAAATGACACATTATAAACATTCATGCTCAACAAATTGGAAAAATGGACTCATTCTCTTCCAGTGAACCACTCCATAGGTCAGTTGAATTTAATTCGTTTTCAACGTTGCAATGAATGTAAATGGTAAAAATCATAATGTTATAATAATTGGAAGACAAAAAATTTATGTAAAAATGTAATTCAATTTTGAAAATTTAGTTTTATGTGAACTACATTAAAATTAAAATTTACTTTTATGTAAAAAATGCGACGTAAAAAAATGGACTTCAACAATATTTTGTAATTTTGTAAAATAAAAACTTGATCCAAATCTGTCGTTACTACTTATACTTTTTATGATAATTAAAATGTTCAATATAATTCAAGAAATTGAGGCCCAAGAATGAATATTGAAAAAATCTTGACAGAATATATCAGAAACCAGAAAAATCCAAATCTATTGACTTTTTTCCATCGGATATCTATAAAAAACGATAGACTTTTTCACGAGAATCCGAATGAAAATTCAACAGAGTTTCGTACTAAAAATTGAATAAAATATTAAAAATTTGAATGAAAAAATCCACCACCTCTGAAGGTTTAAATTAAGTACAATCCTCCATACTTCCATTTTCACAGGATTTATTCGTAAATATAGCTTTGTTACATCTTCATACAATTAATTATCCTTGAGAATTATTATCTTCATTATTTCATTACATTAGAATACTGTAATTATTATCTTGCGAGGAATTTAATTCCAATGTTCCTTATCATTACTCACCATTATCATTAATTTATATCATGTGATCAACGAAAAAAATTGAATAGTTGAAATTTCCTTTCATCATTCATTTATTTACATGAATTAAAAATTCTCTTTTTATTTTCAAAATGCTCTATAGAAAAGTCATTTTATTCGATTCGTCAATTCATTTATTATTGATTTAATCGATTATTCGTTTTTCACAGGTTATCATTAATCTATTATCAGTGAACTTTACATGATTTTGTCCTAATTAATTAATTTATGTTGTATACATATCAGATATGTGTCAAATTTCTTAAATTAATCGAAATTGTACCATTGTATTCACCATCACCATTAACAGTTCCATATGTTTTTTTATTCCATAATTATTTTCTCTAGTCATCAATTAAAATCAATCAGGGCATTTCCATTTTATCTACACTTACTTTAATACTGACAGGATCTTCTCGATAAAATAACTTGTTGCGCAATAAGTCCCTTCACATTTGATGTTTTTATTGAGACCTCGTCTACATCACATTCTAGATAGACGGAATACGTGTTGTGTAATAAGAATTCCACAATATACAATTCAAACTTGTGAATGTTCAATTTATCTTAATGTAAAACGTCGAATGTGTAAAAAGTAGAGGAACTCGATAATTTAGTCGAGAGAATGTTGTATTGGTGTTAAAGTATGTCCATATCCATTGCCTTAATAATTTTCCCTAAATTTACAATTACATTATCATTGCAACTCATCCTCCATTAGTGATTTATCGAAATCCTGAGTTCATTTATCATTTCTAGAGTTCAATGAAGAAATATTAACAACAAAAATCATTGTTTCATCAACGATAAATGTTTCTTACAGAAATAATTTCTCTTTTTAAAAGTGTGTCGTTTTCATACGAATTGTGCGATGTTTCGTAGAAACGAAAATTCTTTAGTCAACTTGAGAAGAATGTTTTCCTCCTCTTTTTATACTGCTAATCCTTTGGCCTCCAGAAAAAAAAGTTTTCCCCCTCATTTTCTCTATCTTATTTATAAGTAAGATAAAGAGAACACCTAGAGATCTCAAACTCTTTGTAGAAAAAAAATTCGAAATTCAAAATCGAATGCGAACTCTTCAACTAATGATTCTGTTTTTTCTGAAATAATGAGACATTGGAGAGAATAATGACAAAGTTGATTGATTTGTCGTAAGTGCAGCGGTTCGGTATAATTTTTCCGCTTTTTCAGATTCTTAACATGATCACACGGTTGAAAAAATTGCTGAGAAAAACCTACTCCATTTGCAGAAAAATTTCATCGAAATTTTTCAGTTTTTCGCTAATTTTTACAGGAAACTATCTGATGATTTATGTTAGAAAACGACCAATGTAATTCCATTTTTCATGTAAATTATTGCGTGGAAAGTTTCTCTATAGAAATCTCTCGGAGAAAGATTTTTTTTTCATGTTTTTATCCTCGCGCACTACAAGATGTAAGGCCTGAAACGTTGCAAATTTATGTTAAGAAATTTTTATAGAAGAAGAATCAATAGAATAGACTGTGCAGAAAAATTTGAAAAGTTGACTTTCCTCCATCAAATATTTCCTATTAATATTTCTATAAAGCTGCGAAACTTTCAATTGAAATTGGCAAAAAACATGTAATAGAATTTCCAGAAAAATTCCAATAGAATTTTCTAAGATTTCCTATCGGATTCTTTACCTTGACTCATGACAAATTAACTAGTATTATTATTATCTTCAACATCTCTTCATTCTGTAATCCAACATTATTTTCCAACTTGAATGGTAATTTTTTGTATTTTTCAATTTATTCACGGACGAAAAAATTTAATAGAGAAACCTATCGAATTCGTTAGAAAATTCTATTGAATTTCTATTTAAGGTACTTCCGCAGTAAGTATACTTGGTGAAAATTTCGAAATGGTATAAAGACGCAATATTTGGATATTATGTTGTTGACCACATTAAAAAGATATTCCCAAAATTTCAAGTCCCTGGTCCACCCCATTTTTTAGATATGCATCGCCAAACATTCAATTTTTGTGTTTTTTCCATTTTTGACGACGTATATCTCGAAAATGGGGTGGACAAGGTACTTGAAATTTTGGGAATAGTTTTTGAATGTGCTCAACAATATATGATCCAAATATTGCGTCTTTATACCATTTCGAAATTTTCACCAAGTATACTTACTGCGGAAGTTCCTTAACTGTTCTATTAGTTTTTGGCCGATTCTATTGAAATGTTCAATAGAAAATATTCAATAGAAAAAGTCAATAGAATTCAATTTTTCTATGTAACTTATTTTATTGGGATATTTTCTATAGAATTTCCTCGGCTTAAATTTTCCAAGTTTTTTCTTGTGATTTTCTTGGTGAGAAGAAAAGAAAAATGGAATGAAAAAAATTAGGAAATTTGAGTAGAGTAAATTCTATAGAAAATATATGAAAAGAATAAGTTATATAGAAAAATCGAATTCTGTTGACTTTTTCTATTGAATGTTTTCTATTGAACATGTCAATAGAATCAGCCAAAAACTAATAGAAAGTTTGATAGAAATTCAATACGATTTTCTAACGAATTCGATAGGTCTTTCTATTAAATTTTTTCGTACGTGTCTCGATCTTTCAAAATTGAATTCAAAGATAGAATTGAAGGAGGAGAAAGAAACAATCGAACCTATCCTTTTTTTCATTCCATTATTGATGCCAAAATCCGAAAAAAAATTTCTTGAATACTAGACTTCGAAGAAAATGGATAATGGATCGTCAATAACTGAGAATATTTCAATAAGGATATCTTAAGAGAGCTTTTTTGAAGCTGGGGCTAAATTTACCATAAAAAATCTCTCGTATAATTTCGTCATCAACTCAAGAGATATCCCTTAGGGTTAAAAAAATATTGAAACTCTAAAATTTTTCGTCAATTTCCTCAAACATATTTCCCACGGAAATCCAAATACGAAACCTCCAAATTAATTTGGAAAAAAATCAAGCCAAAATTCTAGAAAAAATTAAAAATTGATAACATCTCGGAAAAGAATAATTCAGTAAAATTCTCAAGCAAGAAATCAAATTGAAGATCTTAATATAAAGTTCTTCAGATCCAATGAAGATGGCAACATTTTCCTGAGGACTTTTAACGAAAAAGATCTTGATGAATATTTTTATAATCTTTAACAATGAAGTTTTGGAGTCTAACAAGTCGATTTTTCATTCCATTGAATCTTTTTTATACAAAAACGTTCTCTTGAATTCTTCTTATTCACGAGATGAATCCAAAGTTGGTAATCCCCTTTATTGACCTCATTACCCACAACTAAATTTTATAAAAAACCTAGTGAATTCGTTAGAAAATTGTATTGGATTTCCATTTAAGCAATTTTACATAGCCCTGGAATCTCCAAAAATTATGATTGTACAATTAAGAAAGCGTTGAAAAAAAGCTGAACATTTTCAAATTACGTTTTCGAATAATATTGGGAAATGAACCCAATAGAGAGGAAATTGCAAATTAATAATTTGATGCATCTAATGGCTGTTAGGTCGTCATTTCTGACAGTAGTCAATGGCTGTCAGATCATTAGTTACCATGATAAATTATCCATTCACTATTTCCTCTCTATTAGACTTATTTCTTAACCTTTATTAAAAACGCTCTTTGAAAATGTTCAGTTTTTTTATTGTACAGTCATCATTTTTAGAGACTCCTGCGTCATGTAAAATCCAATGAAAATTGTGATATATTTTACATTATGAAGATGGAAAAATAATCGAGATAACGTACGAAAGGTAATCCACACCGGCCTTAATGTGTTTTTCGCCGATTCCGATGAAAAATTCCACTGTTTTTTTGCGTATTTTCTTTTTCAATAGAAATTGTCAATAGAAAATATTTTATAGGAAAAATCAATAGAAAGTGATTTTTCCATATAACTTATTCTATTAAGATATTTTCTATGGAATTGCCCAGGCTCAGTTTTCCTAAGCTTTCTCGTTTGGTTTTTCAGTGAGAGGAGAAAAAAATAGAATGATAAACTTTCCCAAAATTCGTTTCAATTAATTCCCATAGAAAATGTTATATAAAAAGATCGAATTTCATAGATTTTTTCTATAAAATCATTTTTACTGGACATTTTCTGTAAAAAAAAGGTCAACAACTGCGAAATTGTTGAATAGAATTGGCGAAAAACTGAGAGAATTTGGAATAGAAGTTCAATAGAAATCTAATAAAAATTTGTAGCAAATTGGTTATTTCTCTATAATTTTTTTTGTCCGTGTGTTGTGATTCTGTACGTGCAGTTCCTGATATTTTGCACACGGTATCTGAATGGATTGAATAATGGCTTGAGAAATTTTCATTGAATTTTCTACATTTTGAGACCCCTCCCCCCCCCTCTCCCAATGTCCTTACAATTAAAAAAATATGGACAATGCTTTGTTTCATCTCATTTTACCACTCCACCAGTTCCTCCCCTTCCTCACACACAAAAAAAAAACCTAGTGAATTCGATAGAAAATGCGATTCGTTTTTGGTCGATTCCATTGAATATTCCGTTGAACCTTTCTATACAACTTTTTTCATTGAGCCATTTCCTACAGGAATCCCTTGACATAAAGATTTTCCACTCCACTTTTCTTCTCTCTCCATTAAAAAAATCAAATAAAAAAACGTAAAAAAATTGGACTGAAGAGACTGCATAGAAAATATCTCAATAGAATAAGTTGTGCAGAAAAATCTAATTTTTTTGACTTTTTCAGCTATGATAACTCCCAAGACCTTCAAAATTATCGGATATTTTCCGAATGTTTTGTTGCATAGCAACGTAAGGGATCAGTTTTGCAGATTACAATCCCGAGCGCGCAGCGCTGTAAAATTCAATAGAATTGGCCAAAAACTTAATTTCACTAGGTTCTCCCACGAAATTTTTCCGTACGTGCTTCCTTTCCCACTTCCATTAACTCGAAAAAATTTATCTAAAATGCGCTAAGAGCCAGTCGATCTCCACTGTTGGATCGTCTGCCCTTCCCTTGGTGTTCAAATCATCAACTCCCCCCCCGGCTCCATGGTTGTTCCTTAGCAGAGGCGAAAAGCAGATAAAAGCAGTTAGCCGTCATATTGATGCCAGCAGCCAGCCAGAAGACAACATGCCACCGAGAGAGAGTCTCATGTCCAGCGATGAGTCGGCCCACCACATAAGGAGCGAGAAATCCACAGACATTGGCAGCAGCATTGCTCAGTCCATAGAGAGTCCCAGCGTACCTAGGTGCCAGAGCGATATGATTCATCTGATTGCCAGCATAAATAGCACCTTGGAGTGAGCCAAGGCCCGCCAGCATGATCATCACCCAGACTCTGTCGCAAACTGCCCATATGGCCCCGATGAAGCTCAGACTGGGCCCCAGAGATCCAATTGTATTCCAGAATTTCATAGAGATGAGCGGCGACATGATCCTGCGCTCCAGGAGGTTGTCCGCCAGACCGCAGATCACCAGACCCATTATCCAGGCGGATAGGTACGGCAGGGTGGAGAGCAGGGCGTCCTGCTGCACGTCAAAGTGGAGAATTCGGTCCATGTAGGCTGGGAGCTCGGTCAAGAGTGTGTAGAACGCCCATGATTGCCCACACTGGGTTATCGTTATCGCCCACATGGGTCCTGACGTCAGGACTGATAGCCAGGGCACTCCTACGTCGTCGTTCTGCGAAGTGGAGCTTGGGATTAGTTTTGAATATTTTCCGGACTCGATCAGGTTTAATCGGAATAATATTTTTTCCGTACTGACCTTCACTTTTCCTCATCCGGGGATTGGTATCGACCCTTCCCAAAACTCGTAAAAGTGAAAATCACTACAGAAAAATATCGTTCACCAGGGTTGGGCAAGTAAATTACCTCAGGTAAATTACATGATTTCTGACTTGTCATACTAGGTAAATTACATGGGGAATTTTCAAGCTATTTGACATGTCAAAAACTCATTTGGCGCCCTTCACTGAAATGAGCAAAATCATGATATTTTTTAATATCGGGAGGGTCAAATGTCGCAAGAATCATAACCCGCAAGGATCATGCCGAGCGATTGGAGGTGAAGCAAGGGTGAAATATCGGAACGGTCATACCTCTCGCGAGGATAAAACGTCATAACCACTACACGGAGAACAAAAAATCCAAAAAAATTACTGTGGTAGGACGATAAAATAGGTTCATTTGGACGGACCCGGAAAAATTCGCGTGCCAGGACCGGAATTTCAGCCGTGCGCTACAGGAATTTTGCTCAGATTTACAGTGAAAAATTCTTGTACTCCACAGCAAAGTTTCCGGTGCTGGCACAGTAATTTTTCCGGATCCGTCTAAATGAATCCATTTTGCCGTGCCGGTACAGTAATCTGTCTGGAATTTTTCTCTTCGTGTATAACTCACAATGACCAAACTAACACTGGGGCCAAACAACAAAGTTAGGGTAGATAATTTCAAGGGTCAAATAACCACAGGGACCAAACGGTATCGCCTTCGAATTATTTTTTTTGATTCATCTCCCGCCTGCGGAAGAGGCAAGTCTAAAAATGCGAGGATCAAGAATGAGAGGCAAGCAAGCAGGACAATCACAAAGGATTATCCGAACTTGTTCTCATATTTGACCCTTACGATGGTGCTTCGGATAGGGGTCATTTGGTCCAAAAACAATTCGTCCAATGACATTTCGTCCAAAATCACTTCGTCCAAAAATTCATTTCGTCCAAAAATCACTAGGTCTAAAAATCATTTCGTCCAATGAGTAATACTCTCTAGTAGCGACGCCTGTGACGTAGGGCCCAACGTGGCAAATGGGGGAGAGGAAAAACATCAGGCAACCAAAAAAGGGGAAGAGGGTCCGGGGTTGCAAGAAGGGGAGGGCAAATCGTCCCAGATTAGGACTCGAAGAAGCGTCTAGACACATTAAGGAGAATTGTCAATGGGTTTATGATAGAGTTTTACTCGGAAAGGTCTCTTTACGATGGGACTGGAACAGAGCTAATAGGGGAGATTGCTCAGGCTTATGGGAACTGTTCGATCAGAGTTTCATAGCGGTGGCGCGCATGAACTAATCGAGAGGCCGTCTCTGTGGGTAAAGAAATTTTCATCTATTACCATGGAAACAGTCGATAACAGGGATGCGTTCCCAATCTTAAATCCAACATGAAACCTCCTTTGCATTCACTCATCCGCTTGATTATCCCATTTTCGTTCATACAACTTCTTATTGTCTTAATTTGTAAATTAGTTGATCATAAAGGAGAGGGAGAGAAGGAATTATGAAGTCTTGAGCGAAAGAGGATCATTTATTTGAATTTCTATACAACTAGATCTT